TGCTTCCTCTTTTTTTCTCCACCCCATATTCGCTCAAGGTAGTGCATGCAATTCTGATTTCCCCTATTTTATTCTCATAGCAACCCAACAAGGTAAGGTCAGGCTGAGACTGTGCGACTGCCAAGCCCAGCCCGGGAATAGGATTACTCAATAGGGACTAGAAACTGGTTTTCCCCCACCTTCCTGTCCTGTGCTCTAACCACTATTCCCACAGAGGTTTCATATTGCCTGTTAATCACACAAACTGGTGTCATCTTAAAAATTTGGGAGTGTCATCAAGATTGGTATTTAATCTCTGCCAGGGTAGATCCGGTGTGTATACCTACGGACATGTGTACACTGAGTTTCCATGGCTGAGCAGGGATTTGAACCCGAGTCTCAGTCTATTGTTCTATACCGGATATTTCGTATACTTAGGTGCGCAGATTTACCCCAATCCTGGACACTCTGCAATGGCAAATTCTACATGCCCTGTGCTCAACTGAGGAGGAAATCAGACTGATTTGCACCCGTCACTTGATGTCTCCTTTGTTGTCTAAGGGGTAAGAGGAACAAGGAACAGAGACTCTGCACGCCTTCACCTATTCCTATTCCCAAAGACAAGAGGAGTGATCGCCAGAGATTACGAGAACAGGTTTTGCTGGTCCCTGTCAAAGACCTAGATCTAGTGTTGGTCAACCTGGGAGCCATGACACCCAAAGGGGTCAACAAAAATGTTTTCTGTGGGGTTTGTGGGTCACCTTGCATGTGTGGCAACCCTTAACCTTCCTTGACTTTTCAGAGCGGGACATTAAACTTAGCACGTGTATGCGTAGGGGTGAGAAACAGACCCTTTCAGGGGAGAAAGAAGCATCTGCTTTCCGAGAAGGGATGACCTTACCCTCTCCAAAATGCCTCAGAATCTCACAGAATGTGTGTCTATGTCAAGTTACTTGGCTCTTATAAAAGGGGTCAGCCATTCAAAAAAAGGTTCAGCACCACCAACCTAGATCAGTGGTTCCCAGGCTTCGGTCCCGAGATGTTCCTGGGCTAAAACTCCCAGAAGCCTTTGCCACTAGGAGCGCTGGCCATGATTTCTGGTAGTTGTAGTCCAAGAACACATGGGCTACCCAAGGTTGGGGAATCACAGTACGACACCATTTGAGACTTTGATGGCTATCCCCGGCTAAAATGGCCGCCCCCCTCCTGTCCCCTCTCTCAATCCTCCGCTTCCTAAATCATCTTTTAACAGCGGTAGCAGCTGCTCCAGGAACTTTATTTGGGAATTTCCTTGGTGTTGAGTTACCGAAAATTCCACAGGGCACCAAAGTAGTTCTTTGCCTGAATCAAGTGTGTGTGTGTGTGTGTTTTATTGGCTCCACATTTCGCTGTTCTGATGCTTAGCAATCTTTGCTATGGAAAAAAAAACAAATGCCCTCAACTTGCCACAGCTGAGGCCAATTTACTTAAAACAATATATGAAAATAAGGATGGGAATCTTCTCCCCCTCCCCTCCTGTGCGCACCACTGAAATATCATTTCGGAGCAGAGGGTGGGAAGGTCTGCCTTGGGGATTCTCTGTGCCAACTTTCCGTTCGTCTAAAACATGCGTGCTTTCTGAGTGGTGCACGGGGGCTAGGAAAATGCTAGAGCCGGGCCAAAAGAAACTTAAGTCATGGCTACAGGGATTGGCTTTTGCCTGCTTCGGGGCCTCCTTCCTCCCTTCTCCTGCTGAGACATCTTGGACTTTCTCTAGATCATCAGCCAAGACACATCCCAAAGCCATTTTACACAGAAAAAGTTACATTCCACCCCCCCGCCACCCACCCCAACTATAATAATAATCAGATTCCCACTGTGGTGGACAGAGTGACAGGTTAGGACTCTGGAGAACAGCGTTCGAGTACTCACTTGGTGGAGAAAACTCACTGGGGGAGTGGAAATAGTAAAAAAAAACTTCTTACATATCTCACATACCTTGAAAACCCTTTAGGGTCTCTATAAGTCAGTTATGACTTGACGGCACGGAACACAAACACAAACACAATAATAATTATCATGTGATGTCAAGTGAACTCTGACTCATGGCAAGTTTTCTAGGTACAGAATACTCCAAAGTGGTTTATCATTTTCTTCTTCCAGGGATGTTTTGGGATGGTGCAGCTTGCCCAGGGCTACACAGGCTGGCTTTACTTGCAGGAGGCCTAGTGCGGAATCAAACTCCCAACCTCTGGCTCTGCAGAGATCATACAATGGCTCAGTCATTCTGAACCTTGGGTCCCCAGATGTTCTTCGCCTACAACTCCCAGAAATCCTGGCCAGCACAACAAGTGGTGAAGGCTTCTGGGAGTTTTAGTTCAAGAACATCTGGGGACTTGAGGTTGGGGACCATTGCAATGGCTGAAGTCCTGTTGTATAGTATTGTTAAGTAGCACTAGAATAGACCCACTCATTTTTTATTATTTTTTATTTTTTATTTATTTGATTTTTACCCCACCCCTCTAGACCATGTCTACTCGGGGCGGCTTACAAAATAAAACAAAACAGTATAAAAATATATAAAATCATAAAAATTACAACTACAGTTTCAATTTAAAACAATTAATTTAAAGAGAGGATTACCAAGATGGAAGAGCAAAGAAAAAGAAAAAGAGAAAGACTTAATTGACTGGAGGGAAGGCCTGCTTGAATAACCAAGTTTTTAACTGGAATAACCAAGTTTTTAACACTCATCCAGTGGGGGATTTGGTAAATAAATGCCTCTGTAAATTCCATTGATTGCAATGGGCCTAGTCTAGTTTGATGTACGATGCTAAGCAACAAGATTTGACGCAATCTTTCCCAGCTTTTGAAACAACCGGCAGTCAAGAAGGCAACGTAACTCCAACCCCTTGCACGTAACGCCCGTAAGTTAGCAGGCAACTCAACCTTGCACCCATAAGTTGTGAGAAAGATGTAACAACTATGAGTCAAAGCTGATCTTTCAAAAGTTAAAATGGAGATTTATTCCCCCTCTTCATTCATTCCCTCACACACCGTGGAACAATGCAGCACAATCCACGCCTCCCCTTCTAATGCAAATGAACAATCATCCTACAACTCCCCAAATTACAGGGTGATGTGTCACTCTTAATCTTCCTGAGAATGTGGGAGTTCCTGTTTCAATGGCTCCCATTGTTCCCAACCTACAATATCAGGGAAGAGCTGCCAGCACCGGCAAAGACGGATAAGCAGGCGAAGCTATTGAACCAACCCAGCGCTATGGCACACTGCAAGTTAGCAGGAGGAAAAAAAAAGGAAAGGAAAGAAAACCAAGAGACAGGTAGAAGTGTGTGAAGCAACCTCAGGGCCTTACCCGCTGGCACAGGTGCCTTTGCATAGACACTCATTAGCTGGGTTATGCCTTCATTTTTTGACAGCGCAAAAATGAATTAAGTGATCAGACTGAGATGCCAGCTCTGTTTTTCCATTACCGCTTAGGTGGCTGAACTGCAGGCGTGACAAATAAAAAAATAAATAAAAATAAATGGAAGGACTGTGAGAACATGTATGTATTAGAAGAACCCATTAGAAATCAAGAACTAATTAGAAATGTTGTGTCGTTTGGAATATCCAAATTTGGAGATGAAGGGGCATCTCGAAGAAAACTATCAAGAGGACCCAGAGACTTTTAAAAACTTCAGCTCAGTCCTGCTGTCGGGGTCTCTGCAAGCCCTTTGAAACAAATAAACAAAAAATAAACATATTTAAAATGTTTTTTTTTAAAAAAAATCTAAGTTTCTAAAAAACAAAAATAAAAGTGGGGGGGCTTTTAAAACCAGTATTTTCTCAGGCTTCAGACCCATCTCCAGAAAATGGAAGGAAAGTGGGAAATGATGACTTACTGTGAAGGTCTGGTGTTCCCCCCCCCTAGCTTTAGGGATTAGGGTGTTTTAATTTCCTGGAAAACCCTCTTCTTGGTTAACAGGCTTATTCCCCCCAAGGGAAAAACTCAGTCCCCCCCCCCAAAAAAATGTGGTGGCCTTCTGCCCTTCCATTTGAATGGTTGCATCTCCATCCAGTGTTTTACCTCAGGGAAAAGATCCTTGTTTTCTGACTGAGAGGCAGCATTTGGTCAAGGATATGAGCCACACGCTCTGGTTTTGCCTGGAAATTTAGACGGGGGCTTGAAAACCTGAAGCCAAATTTGCTGAATTTAGAGAGAGGTCAGCCATCGGTGTGATTTATTTGAACTTTTCAGCTGTCCCCCCCTTTTTTTTTTAAACAGTTAGTTCATTCTTCTTAATCATTTCTTATTCTGAGGAGCTTTATGTGGATGTACAAATATATACTGTATAAATATAACCCCCCCACACACATAGACGCACAAATACACATGAATAGTATTAAGATGTACACATGCGCACACACAATATTGTGTGCGTGTGTGTATACATACATACACATATACATACACATATACATAGTACATACACACAATATTAAGGTTGCTGTTAAACATTGTGTTTGTATATCACTGATTTCATTGGAATGCACTCTGGTGAAGATACAACATCAATAATAATTATAATTTATGAGAGGAAAGAGGAACCCTAACCCCCCCCCAGACCTTAGTCTCTGAGTACTAACAACAATAAGAGCTACAATAATACTTAGTTTTTTGGTTGAGACTTGTATCTGTTCTATAATACCAGTCAATGTTTGTATCACTTTGACTGTGCCTGGTGTTTTTGAATAACAACAACAACAGCAACAAGCACCCCGACACCCAGGTCTTCAGGGAGGGCTCCTTTCTCCCTCCCACGACACAACTCCCTCTTCTTGGCTTCACCTCCATGCGCCAAGGATATTTTAATCGTCTGTTGGCTTCATGTCCATCTCATCCCATCTCCTCCGGCCCAAGGCCAGCCGGGCACGTTTACCTCAGGGATGACATTGTAGCCAACTTTAAAGGCCGACTCAAGAGGGGAGAGAGAGGAGGGAACAGGAAAGACAGGCAAACCCACAAGACGACGCCTCACCTTCCCGTCTTCAGGCTTGGGGGGCTGCAGCGCACGGGGGTCTTCGCCTTGCCGGGCCTCGTCCTGTGCGCGTCCCCTTTGGTCTGAGGCAGAAGAGGGAGGTTGTGGGGGCGGAGGCTTGAAGGAAGGCCAGGCCGGGCCAGGAGCAGAGCCCTCAGCCTCGTCCCCTCAGCATGGCTTCTTCAGCAAGCCCCCCCAAAAGGGGCCTGGGACCCCCCTCAGCGCCCTCACGAAACCCCTCCGGAGGTGCCAGGGTGTGGGAGGCCCTGTTTAGGCTTCCTGGGGGGTTTCCCCAGCTTTTTTCTCTCCCCAGTCGGCTTGGTGCAGGGGCCCTGTCGAACCTGCGGGAAGGCGCTGCTGGGGGGTGGTCTTCCCTGGAGGAAAAGCCACCTGGCGCGCCTCAGAAACCCTGCCAGGTCCTTGCAACGGCCCTTAAGCGGGTATTGGAAGGGAAACATCCAGCCTAGACTTCTTGGGGGGGTCCAAAGCCGAGCCTTCTGGCCTTTCTAAGCTTCGTGAGGGAAAAGTACTTTCAACAGGTGCAGGGCATCAGGCTG